TATATATATATATATATATATATACATTTTCCGTTTAGAAGAAGAGCTGGATGAAAGGAGTTTTAATTTCCCACTTAAAGCACTCTGCATGTTGCCTGGTCTGTGCTGAGGTTGTGTGGGGCACTAACCAGAGTATTATTTGGGGCCATGTCATTGATGACCTACTGAACACCCCATCACTTGTACATTTTTTACAGTGTCCATGATTTGCTGTCACCTGCCACAAAACACATAAAATGCAATTATGTGTGTGACTGTGTGCACATTTCTTCGTCATGTTGGGAAATTATCTCCTAAACTAGTGGGCAGTCTTTAAAAAAAAGTATAGTTGGAAGTGTCTCTACAACTTAAGGTTCCTCGAAGACAATCTGATTCGTTCTGGCAACCACAACCACAGCCCATCGAACTTATCAATCATAAAATGGCTCTAACTCAGTCCATCTGACAAATATTAAGCTTTGCGTGCTGACTAACAAGCCACATTTAGCATACTAAACGTTAAGGTTTAGTTACATTCTTTTAGAGACTTTACTGTTGCAAGTTTATTGTAAAGACTGAAGAGCAAACATCTCTCTAAAGTGAGACATGGCAGCACATCTTACAGCCACAAAGCTGCATCTGAGGATGTCGGCACAAAGACTGCATGTGTGCTTTCAGCACAGTGGTGGAGGGATCATGGTTTACACGTTTTGTATTATAGAAATAATTAAATTGACTGTAACTGGATTTGAATGTAGATCTGTGAATTGGATTTATGATTTTGACTTACTTAGATAGCGAGAGGACTTTTGTTGTGCATTGGTGCTACGTACTGTAAATAAACTACTACTTTGAATCGAACAGTTTTTCCACCACAGGATTTGGGCACAACACTGTCATTGAGTTGACTACAAGCATTTCTGTAGAGCAAAATATTCTAGAGTCAAATTAAGGCCATCTGTCTGACAGCTAAAGCTTGTCCTGATGGTGTCATGCAACAGACTGATCATTTCTAACACAGCAGCAAATATGCAACAGAATAATAATAATAATAATAATAATGTCATCACAATGTCAGCACTGTATGTTTCCATACAATGGATGAAAACGAAAGGAATCAAAGTCTTGCAATGTTCCCGTCCAAAGCAGGTTTATGCTGCGTTTATCAGTATTAACTGAAATTTAAACAGAAAAGCTTGTAATGTTTCAGAGCTTAATATAAATTTTCACTGGCGTCGTTAGGTTGGCAAATATTATGTAGCCCTGAGAAGAAAGCAAGTTGCAGCATTGCAAAGGATATAAAATACAATATTGGGCATGTTTTGTTAAGTTTGTTGTAAGGACAAATAGATTGACATTTGTATGATGCATTTTTAAAACAGTCAATCAAAACAAGTCTTAATTTTCACCTATAATAATTCCCACTTCACAACGCTGATCATCAAATCCACATGTCATCATAGTGCCGACTGTGTCGTTCACGACTGCCATGATATCTGCTTCATAGTCCTGGAAAAAACAACTTGTATCAAAAAATCAATGTAAAAAGACACATGTCCCAGTATGGAGCGTTACGATTTTTCATTATTGTTTAGTATTTGTGAATAAATCTGTGGAAATAAAGAATCAAATCTCACCCCACGTTTCTTAATTGCTTTGTTCAGGAGCTTCACAACATCCATGCCCTCTACACCACTAGCTTTAAACTTCTTTGTCCATGTCACTAAGACAGCCTGAATTAAAAAATACTTTGTCAGTGTTCCTTTCATGCTTTATTGCTAATTATGCCTTCAAAGTTGGCCTAGTCACAGATATATTTAAAGCATGATAATAATTGTTTAAGGTGTTTACCTCATCCAGTTTGGATTGGACACAGGGGAACGAGAATGTAAATCCCACAGGGATTCTTTTATCCTTAATTTTTTGTTTCTCCATAAAATCTCCGAGGCAATCGGCAACATGGTCGAAGAGCTGGAGACAAGAAAAAGATTTCCAAAAGTCACCATTTTTTATAACTTCAGTTTAAAACATGAAGTGCAGCCGGAAACTATTACAGCACTTCACTTTATCCACAGTTTGTTATGTTACTGTCTTATTCCAAATTGTGTTAAATAATCTCTTTCCTTAAAATTCTACGCACAATAAACCATTATGACTACGTCAAAAGATTTTTTTAGATTTTTGCATATTTATTAAATATAGAAAACTAAGAAATCACATTTTGGTAAGTATTCACAGCCTTTGGCATGAAGCTCAAATTGAGCTCAGATGCTGTTTCCACTGATCCTCCTTGAGATGTTTCTACAAGTTAAATGGAGTCCACCTGCGGTAAATCCACTTGATAGGACTTGATTTGGAAAGACACACACCTGTCTATAGAAGGTCCCACAGCATGTCAGAGCACAAACACCAAGCATGAAGTCAAAGGTCTGTAGACCTCTGAGGCAGGACTGTGTTGAGGAACACATCTGGGGAAGGATACAGGAACATTTCTGCTGCTTTGAAGGTCCCAGTGAGCCCAGTGGCCTCTATCATTCATAAATGGAAGAAGTTTGGAAGCAGCAGGACTCTTCCTAGAGCTGGCCAGCCGTCTGAACTGAGCGATCGGGGGAGATCAGTCAGGGAGGTGACCAAGAACCTGATGGTCACTCTGTCAGAGCTCCAGTGTTCCTCTGTGGACGGAGGAGAACCTTCCAGAAGGACACCATCTCTGCAGCAATCCACCAGGCAGGCCTGTATGGTAGAGTGGCCAGATGAAAGCCACTCCTTAGTAAAAGGCTCATGGCAGCTCGTCTGGAGTTTGCCTCTGAAAAACTCTCAGACCAGGAGGAACAAAATTCTCTGGTCTGATGAGACAAAGATTCAAGTCTTTGGTGTGAATGCCAGGTGCCATGTTTGGAGGAAACCAGCTCATCACCAGAACAATACCATCCCTACAGTGATGCATGGTGGTGGAAGCTTCATGCTATGGGATGTTTTTGAGCAGCAGGAACTGGTAGACTGGCCAGGATAGAGGGAAAGATGAATGCAGCCATGTACAGAGACATCCTGGATAAAAACCTGCTCCAGAGCACTCTTGACCTCGGACTGGAGCGACAGTTCATTTTTCAGCAGGACAACAACCCAAAGCTCCTGGCCAAGATCTCAAAGGAGGGGCTTCAGGACCACTCTGTGAAGATCCTGGAGGGGCCAAGCCAGAGTCCAGACTTGAATCTGACTGCCCAATATGAACAAACAACAAACTGTTGTTCACATAGTGGGTCGACCAGCTGAACGAGTTGGCGGGGGCGAGGGTGGGCTCCAGAAACCATCTGAGCACACTAAATTGGTTGATCCACGATGTGAAGGCGCTGCTTATAAGACTGAGTTTGTTGTGGCTCCTTGGACTGATGAAGTCTTTTGGATGAAAGATGAAACATTTCAACAAAAAGAAACCATCCAGAGGACCTGACTTAACTTTGTTGGATAATAAAATGTGGAAAAAGTGAAACATGAATACTTTGTGATGCAGTGTATTTCTGTTGAGCTAATAGTAGTGATGACAACTTGTAGCTAATTAAAAAATAGAACATAAAAGCTAAAGAAGTGTACAAGTTTGCAGACAGTGGTATGTTTGTGTTTATCATCCAAGGCTTTTTGAGTCCAAGAAATTATAATATTTTAAAATGCATTTGAAACCATTTTTCAAACCAACAAAAAACAACTTTTAACAAAAGTATTTTACAAATCACGTAAGTTTTACACCTTTTAAACAAACCTGTTCCTGGATCACATTACATTTCTAAAACGTTCATAGTCGGACTCTGAGCCGGCCCCACGGCCTCAGTCGTTGTGTTTTGGTTATTGTGTTACAATCTGAACGCCAGCTGTTCTTCACAAGTTCATTATAGGTCAGGGCTGGTTTTAAAGTCGCTTCTTATTGCCCCCCCGCTTTACTGCTTGGATCATGTTACAAGAATAGAGCCGTATCCTGGCTGTTGCTGTAAAAACAAGTACATTATTTTGAGAGGATTCATTAACAGTCACGTGATTTGTTCAGTGTTTGCTGATGACGACTTAATGATGAAGGCTTCTTGAACTGTGCCTGGAACATATTTTAGTTTAATTTTATTGTAAAAAAAAAATTTTATATAGATCTTTCACCATGATTACGCCCCCCCCCCCCCCCCCCCACACACACACACACACATTTTTTTTTCAAGAAAAGTGTACAAATTTACACGTGAAATGATTTATTTGTGTTTACCTGTGTCCCACTACCATGGATGATGTCATCAGGAGTGTCATAAGATTGGCTCTCCATCTGAACGGGTTGCTTCTTGTCCTGTGTCACTTTGACACGCAAGATCCGAAAGTTCGAACCTCCGAGATCCAGAGCAATGAAATCCCCTTTTTCTGTCAAATAGAAAATGGAGAGAAATTTTAGTCATTTTAATGATTGTTTTAGATTGCTCCTTTTCACCTGTTGCCAAACTGCAGTATTGTTTTTGCCCTTGTGTGTGTGTGTGTGTGTGTGTGCACGCGCACATGCTTTCTTGGTCTGTTTCTTGACCAAAAAAATCTAATAACCACTGGACAAGTTTTATTGAAACTCTAAAAGTTATTGTTAAATGTACCATTCGATTTAACTTTTTCTGTCAACCAAGTTCAATATGGCTGAAAAAGCTAAACTTTACAAAACATAAAAATAGCTTTAACACTGTCAGTTTTACCAGAACGGAGATAACATTTGGTGAGATGATAGCTCAGTCACCCCAACACAAACTTTGAGTGCTGACTGACTGTGCAAGATCTATTTTTAAAATGTTATCTTTAGCCGTTGAAAACAACTCCCTGTTAGCAAAATGTCTGATTTCTCACCATGCAAATCTGAACATGATTTATTTGTGTTTCTCCATCAGGAACAAAGATGCATCAAATTTTATAAAAGTATAAAGTAAGTTCTTGAACCACTGCACTGATTTTAAAGAAATGCTCAAAGTTTTCAGTGGAGAATCATCTGTAGCTTAATACCTTTAGTAGTCAATCCAATTCAAGATGGCTACCACAGCTAATAAACCATAGTTAACACACAAATGGTGATATGTTAGTAACATTTACAATTATTGCGCTTAAATCGGATGCAGTAGATGCTATGGGGTCTCCAGTTTCTCCTATTGTTGCCAACCTGTACATGGAGGAGGTAGAAAAGAGAGCCTTGACGTCCTTTTCAGGGACACCACCAAGTCATTGGTTCAGGTATGTTGACGACACCTGGGTTAAAATTAAATCTCAGGAAGTCCAACATTTTACTGACCACATCAACTCTGTGGATAAATACATCAAGTTCACACGAGAAGATGTAAAAAATGGCAGGTTGGCTTTCTTGGACTGTGAGGTCTCAGTCTCTGATAGAGGACATTTGCAAACAGAGGTGTACCGCAAACCCACACACACAGACCAGTATTTGCAGTTTGACTCCCATCACCCTTTGGAGCACAAGTTAGGAGTCATCAGGACTCTGTACCACAGAGCAGACAGTGTCCCCACTAGCTCAGGAGCCAGGCAGAAGGAGAAATCCTACACAAGACAGGCTCTAGAGCAATGTGGATATCCTAACTGGGCCTTCCTGAAAGCAGAGAAGAAACCCAAACAGGACTCCAGTCAGCCAACAGGTGAAAAGGAGGAACCCAGACCCAGACCAGTGGTCATTCCAGATGTTGAGGGAGTATCAGAGAAACTGAGACGTTTATTTTCTAAACATAACGTCCCAGTGGCTTTTAAACCCCAAAATACATTAAAGACTGGTTCATCCCAAAGATCCAGTCCCCCGGCACAAACAGAGTAATGTTGTGTATGTTGTTCAGTGTCAGGAGGGTGATCAGTCTTGATGAGAGACGAAACGTTTCTACCTTTTTTTTGCTTTGTTTTATTTTTTGTTTGTTTTTTTTGAATGTCCAGAGGACCAGATTGAACTTTTTTGGATTTTTCTACCTGGATTATTGAGCAGCATCAGGACACTTCTTCAGACATTTTTTAAACAATTTTTTAACAGAAGTTTTCCCCCTAGTTGATCTTTGTTAATGTGGATTATTATTTTAGGCCTATTACTTCAAATCAAATCAGCAATCTACTCCTGAAAGGTTCAACCCACAGACCAAAAACATTTATATTGGGTTAATTGGTAACTCTGAATTGTCCCTAGGTGTGAGTGAGTGTGAACAGTAGTTTTTTATTTTTTATTTTATTTCAATGTGTCCCTGTGATGGAATTGCAACCTGTCCGCTGTGCCCTGCCTCTCTCATAGTGACTCCTGCAACCTGGAAAGAAAGAAGCAGGTAAAGGTGATGGATCAAAAATACGACCTGGAAATATTTAGTTTACATAATCAATTTTAGGTCATGGACATTTTTTATTTTAGATAAATCTGCTCAGAACATTTACTTGTGACTAAGATCTTATGAAAATAAGTCAACATAAAAAACAAAACAACAAAAATGGCTTGATTTATAATTATTGCTGTTTTCTTAGCAAACCAAAGTAAATGATTGGGAAGCTTTATCTCCACTAGTAAGAGCAACTCACTATCATTGACATTCCACGCAGCTCAGAGTCACAAGTGGACCTTATCTATCAACCTGTCCATCATCACTGCAAAACAAACTGATTCATGATGTTATCTCACCCCACCGTGAACCCATCTGTTTCTCCTACCCCAGCCCTCTCTCATTGTCCTTGTTCATGTTCTGGACTTGCCTTGCTTGCTACTTCAGCACACCTGACTTCCTAATACATCTGCACAGGTTCTCCCGTGGCACCCAATCATCTGCTTTTTGTAGTTCCATGAAGACACAGTGCAACTCCTGACCTTCTCTACTGTTCTTCATCATCATTCTAAAAGCTAATATCACATCCGTAGGGCTCTTGCTGAATAAGAAACCATAATGCTGCTCACTGGTCGTCACCTCACTTCCTAAATGGGCTTCAACAACTTTTTTCCATATTCTACAGCTTTAAGCTTTATCCTTCTATAGTTCATACAACCTCACTACCCCTTTTATGGAACGGATGTACTAGTTCACTTCCCTTCTTCCAAAACATCTTCATATCATCACAGTTGTGTCACCTGGAACAACTACCTTTCTACTCTTCTCTTTATTGCTACTTCCATCTCCTCCTCACTAATCCTCTGCACGTACGGATGCACTAACTTTCCTTCATCTGTCCTCCTTTCTCTCATTTTCTTCCTTCCTGAGCTCCTCATACTATTCCTTCCATGTCTTCAGCATTCCTTTCACTTTTTAGTACATTTTTGTATCCAAAAATAATTAAAAAACACAACAACTGGACTTCTGTTCTGTAGTTAAATTCAATTCTAATTCTAATTCAATAATACTTTATTAATCCCAAAGGGAAATTAAATGTTGTAACTTGTTATCCTTGTTTCATTAAGAGATGTTATAGATGCTGAAGGCTGTAGGCAGGAAGAATCTCTTGTAAAGGTCCATCCAACAGCGGATAAGAAGAAACTGGCTGCACCACTCACCACTTGCTCTTGTCAAGGTTGGATGCTTTTCCCCTCCCTCTCCGCTTTGCTGCTCTGTCTGTGAAACTGCTTCTGAGCCTCTTTTCATTTCTTCCGAACCATAATTATGGACTTGTTTAGATCAGTTGGTCCCTCAACTCAATTTACAACATTTCTTCAAAGAGAAGACAGGCTTTAGGTGAGCCTATTTGCCCTGTTGGCATGCACACAGCTGGATATCTCATCAACTTGGAAGACTTGATGATGTGTCTATCTCTGCTGCCATTTTTGGATTTTAAGGACGCATATTTAATTGGATTTATGATAACTGGTTCCTGCTTTTTGATTCGGCTGGTTGCTGGTTTTATCTACAATCAAGGAAGTCGTCAGCAGCAAATTTGGACCCGATCACACTGCTTGCCTTTATGATGGCTTGGTTCGTGTCTCGAGTACCCAGACTCAAATGCTTTGGGCAGAATGGATCAGATCTTGGGTATTTTACTCAGGCACGTTCCATCGGTGTGGCCATGTAATTTGGACATTTCTGAACCATTTGGACCAACACAGACTCAAGGTAGATGTCATTAAGTTCTGCCTGTCCCCAAAACATCTGTGTGTTTATCTGAATTTGGCTCCTCTGGCTGGCCTTGAAGGCCAACTTATCTTATTATCTTAGTTTGCCTGGAGAACGTAATCTAACGCCCCCAATGTTGATACAAGTTTTGGGTGTTCGTCCAGTGCCATTTACTCGTACTTGTAATAACAAAAGGATCCCGATACCACTTTGTGGCCGTGTGAAATTCACCTCTCAGTTGAGCAGTCAAGTGGTAGAGAAGGAGCAATATTAGTGGATTCCTAATTTCCTTTTGCTGACAGCTGCCAATTGTGCATTTTGGCTATGCTCATTTGCATTAAGTAGATAATTGGAAATCTTATTACATAATATGTATTTTACTGCCAGGTGTGAACATTTCATGTTGTCTTGTGATTTGCATAAGCTGTGACACATGTTAGTGTCAGATGCAAACAGGGCCAAAGACAAAATGGAGGATATGGTGTCCTGCTAAGCAACAACCATTAAACATGAGAACCTCCCAACGAACAAGGCTTATACAGTTAGTGATGCTGCATTGAGTTATTTATCTCGTGACCTGACTGGAATGACATGAAGCCAGGCTCGACATTGAAAGTGTTACTGATACAGTTCAGAGTGTGTCCATTTTAAACCTCCTCTCTATAGGGTGTTTTTAAAAAACAAGTTTAACATACCTCAGCTTTCCCCGATCGTCCCGCTTGATAAAATCTAAAACGCCATGAAAGATATGGGAGTACTACAATAGTGGTTGTTACTTGAAGTCACAATTCCCTCTTTAGTCTCTGTGTTTATTCATATGAAAATGTGCAGTTCTTGCAATAATTGATTATTTTTCTAAGTCTATATCAAACAAGTAAAGTTACAGGGGAAAGAACGTTAACTTGCTCAAGAATTTATTTAAAAGAAGATTGCAGAAACAATAAGTGAAAAATAGGAAACTGCCAAAGAACAAAAATACAGTAGGTACAATCATAAGAGGAATGTTGCAAAAAAAAACCTAGTTGTGCAAACTAGTAAATGCATAACTGCCTGCTGTAAATGTCAGGAGAAAGATTCTTTCAACTCTACATCCAAAACGTTTGACACTGATCCATATTACACAAATCAGTCAAACGACCAATGCAAAAATATAATCGTGCAAATATTATTTGATATTTTCAAAGGTATTAATTAATTATATCTAATAACTGTTTTATGAACTTCTTAGGAAATCTCAACAATTATGGAAACATAAAACTCATAAGCATCAATTTAATTTATGGTTTTGACCGTAATGTACAATCCATTGTTTTTGTA